ATATATATAGATCTATATATATATATATAGATATACATATATATATATAAGCGGTGTTCGTGGATTGCTCTGAGGCTGACTGAGGCATGGGCCGAAGACAGGAGCAGACTCACGGCACACGCCTGGTGGAGCTCGCTAGATCAACATGAAGGTAGCAATAGCCATGATGGTCATCAGCAGCAACAGTAACCACTACCAGAGAGAAGAAGAAGACTAGAAGCACTCTGAGGAGCACAAAAAGAATCGCAACACCACTCGATGTGAGTGTGAGAGGTGATACCACTGCAGCGATCTTGCGCAGTCCACTTCACACCCGACGAACGGTTCACTCCAAGCTCTTCGTGAGCAGGCGAGCGGCATCGTGCGCCGGCTTCATGGATGTGGGCACTGCCCGCGCTGAGGAGCTGCCCTCCGGAAGGAGCTTGGGAGGTGGCCTGAAATGGAGGCTGTTGCACCAGTAGAGCACTAGGCGTGTGTTGATGCCTGTTCCGCAGCGTCTGCAGAAACTCTTCGAAGCCCTCTGCGGGCGTGAAGGAAGAGTGCGCTATTCGCCTGCACGGGAAAAAGTGTGGTGGATGAACCATGGACAGCTGCCCACTACAAAACAGATCTGCTATGTTTGAAAGGCTCCGCACCCGCTGCAAAGCTCCTGACTCCTCATGCAACGCGGCAACAAGCCACAACAGTGTGACATGGTGCCTGCAAAGCTCCAGGAGTTCGTATCTCGTCTGCACCGGAGCCGGTGACAGCACGGCCTCACAGCTTAAAGCACTGCAAACCTCGAATTGTGTCACTTACCTTTTCAGCCGTCATCTCCAACATTGTTTACAGGAGGATGCACCTTGCTTCTGGATATTGCAAGACATGCTACCAGCACAAGCAATTCAAAATCCGAAGCTGCCTCGTACAGCAGTGGCAGCAGGTGCTTGTCTGGATATAGCACCTGAGCGAGATTTTGGTGCCATCGCATTGCCGGCCAGTGTTCCTTGTGTACAGTGCGGGCGAACGGCATTGTGGAGCAGTTCATGGGACACCAGGCGGCAGAGCCAGTCTGACTGCAAAGCGGTCTGCACGAGCAGGGGCACCTGTCACAGGACCATGGTAAGCATGGGGAGCTCACAAACTTGAGGTAGGGTCCGCACCATAGATGTGTAGAGCTCCGGCAGATTCAGCTCTGCTAGAAGAACGACCGTGTTTGCATACACCTGCGTTGTCAAACAGGTTGCTGCCTCTGCTCACCTTTAGCCGTCTCAGTGGCCAGGCCTCGTCGTTGAATCGAGGGTTGCGCAATACCGCATTCGCGAAGGCCACAAGGCGCGAAGGCTCAGCACAGTACTTGTGCCCTGGCAAACCGTGTGGGCTTCATGTGTCGAGTCCGTCGTAGAGTGGTTTCAGCAAAATCGCAGAATGCAAAGACGGTCTGCTCGTCAATGCATGCTCACACTGCAACTGTCGGTAGGTACATTTCAGCAGCAGATGGTGTGTGATGAGTGATGACAAAAACGGTCGAATGCTTCCACGAAACTTTGACATGTACCCATGCCTGATTTTTTGCGTGGCAACTCCAGCGGAGGGTCGTGCACAGGAAGAATGCGAACCTGGAATCAAAAGCAGCGCTTCAGCACCGAAACCAGATTCGAGGGTTCCATGCCTCCGTGTCTGTGAGGAACTCTGGCTGAGAGGACTGGAAGTGAATCCAAACCTTCGACAGCTTCTGCAGAACTCTCCATTTCATGGCATTTCCCCTCTCTCTCGAGGCCCGAGGAGGTGAACGACAGCACCGTGCAACCGCATCTGTCCATCTCTCCGTCCTATTTCGCTTTTGCCCGCCGGGTCTCAGCTTCTGTCTTCGGCTGCCACGGCGTTCCAACCTTCAACCTGCCCCCTGGGGTCACTAGGGCCCCGGCACGGTTGGTGTGCCTAAGCAGGACGCATCCGCCGTTACTGGCACGTCACACGTGTAGCATCCGGCACAGTCTCAGGTGCCAGCGACATAGCCCCAATCTCCAAACGAGGAGAACTAATGTGCCGCCGATCGCGGACGACCACTTGCTCCTGCAAGTCCTCCAGCATGGTGGACACCTGAAACTCCAGAAGAGACAGCCAGCTACCCGAAGTACCTGCAATGATATCTGGAAGCACCACTCGCCTCGCCGAAGGTCCGCAAAGACATGGGGTAGAACTTCTCAGTCCAAACCTGAAAAGCTGAGTACATCTCTTTGTGGCATGGTTCAGAGCTCGCGAACTCCATGAAGCACTTGTCAAAATGAAGAGGACAGAAAGAGAGGGGCACCCGCAGCTTGTCGCAGGAGAGCTCGGAAACGTTGCGCCAGCACTCGTATGGCATGCCTTCGGCGACCTGCTACAGCTTGTCAAGCTTCCTTTGCCAAGAGCTTACTTCGATGCCAACATCAGGACGGTGGCGCGCCTCTATGTCCTGCATGCGCTCTGCTCGCAGGGATTTAGCCGGCATGAACATGACCTGCGGAACCTGCACCAACAATTTGTCTGCCAGCCCAAAATCCTGCTCGGCTACGGCTGCAACAGGCCGGCACCGCCTCCAGCACTGTTCCAACCATTCTTACCTCAGCTGGCATAGAGCGCCAATTCAGAACGAGTCCTAGAAGCCGGAAATCTCCGTGCATACGTCCCAGAAGGAATGCCCGGGATTTGAGTAACTCGATGTCTTGGCAACCCCGCACTGGCCTACAACGTAATCGGATGTAAGCGCCAATTGGCCGAAGAAGGCTTCAGCGTTCCAACACTCTTCTTTATGCCAAGTAGCCAAGGCAAGCATAGATACTTCGTCCAAGGGCAGTCCGTGGATCACCTGCAGACTATGACAGTGTTCGTCCGGGGCTGACTGAAACAAGATCAGACTGGCTGAAAGCCTGTGTCCTCATGTTGTCTTCGCGAGTCTCACTTCGTGCATGCATTGGGGCTCTCAGATTCCACCTTCACCAGATCTCGGAACCCCATGTCCCTGCAAAGCTTGCAAAAAAGCACGACCATGGCCGAATGAGATCTCTTGCTTGTGCTGCATGCTAATGACTGCAAGCACAGATGTGGTGATTGCGAGCATCTGGAAGTGCACAGACGGAACTGTGAAGGAGGTGTCTTGAGATGTCGACACGAGCTGCACAATGATTCCGGCTGGCATTTCTTCGGTTCGATTTGGACATGTTATATTGAACATGGGTCCCGCACGGCGGGGAATATACCGGACCCTGCCAGACCAACGCTGCTTGCAATCATCTTTCCCTCTCAACCGTACCAGGAAGGCGTTCACCGAAGAAGGCTGCCCTTTCTTTTCAGACCCTGTTTTGTACTTGCCATCTTTATTTCCCCGAGCCCTAACACCACTCGCACGATCGCCCTGCAGACTTGCACATCTGCGACCGATGCGACAGCAAGAAAGCCGTGCCTCGTCCATGACGTGATGCAGCTGCAGGAATAGCTGGCGGTGCATTCGCGCCGCAAGGGTGCCCACTTGTTCTAGGGCCAGTCGATCAGCCTTTTCTTGTCGGGCGCGCTCCTGCAATGACAGCACAAAAACCTCGGGGAAAGTTTGGCTGATGGCCTTTTTCGTAGACGCTCCTCGTTCTCACCGGTGGTAAGCCAAGCTGTCATTTTCTTTCGATCTCGCTCGCGACGCTCGATGTTCAACAGGCCCCTGCGAACAGTCCGAGCTCTCAGCACATCCTCGCTCAGACCGGAGTGCAATACTCGAAAGCATTGGGCCTCCCCACGAAGTGGAGCACCTGAACCACGGCTCCGAGACCCTGGTCAACGAGAAACTCCTGCAGGTCCTGCGAGCCACGCAGCCAAAAGCGCAAGATGACGCAAGACGCCGAGACTTTGTGTGCAGTGCAGTAAATGCCTGCCTCCTTGAAGATGACGCCATCTTCGTTCACGATTCGGGTGATGACAGCATCAAGGACCAGCGCCAGTGTTGCGGGGGTCTCCTGCCTCGCTCGTAGGATGAGCACTGCAACCCTGGATGACACGCTCTGGCAGTTCTTGATGACCTCAGTAGCCACTTGAGATCAAATGCTTCAAGCACAAGACCCGAGTTGCCCCAGAGACGGACCGAACAACCCCGAGAGATCCTTCTGCTTGCTGTCTCGCGTCGTAGTCGCTAAAGTCAATAGGACTGTCGCTGAACGCATTCATCTTGATGATCAGTTTTGCGGCTAGGTCGTCTTGCATTATGTTCTTGCCACGGGGCGAAGCCAGCACAAATGCGACATAAACCGTACAAGCTGCAATGAATGCCTGCTCGTAATTGGAAAGTTGCTGTTTCGAGCTCGCACCATCAATGATGCCAGCTATCATTTGCATCACCTTGACGAACGGCTGTTTGATCAGCTCAAGAAACTTTGGATGCTGGTGCGGGAGGTAGATGGCAGCTGTGCCAAGTGCCAGCACCATCCACATGATAGTGTCCGGGTCCAAGACCTCCTGCAGTCCGGCTTTCTTCTTGCCCATGGCTGCCAAAGACTCGTCACTGAGCTGAACCTGCGTGAACTGGATGACAAGCTGAGTCACTTCAATGATGTTGTACACAGTTAGAGGGATTTCATCGGATGCGCTGCCTGGCTTCCGCTTGAGCACTTTGGCAGCCTGGCTGCGTGCCACTCCCATTTTGGAGTCCACTTCGTAGGCGACCATCGCCCGCGGGAAGAAGCGCATCATCAGCATCGCCCCTGCAAGGACCGGGTCCTCCTCCTTGCGAAGTTCCCCGCGCTCCAAGGTCTCCACGGCCTTCGTCGACCGGCCACAGAGAATTTCACCGGCCTGGACCTCTGCAGCATAGTCTGACAGCCTCTTGGGCTGGTCCAGCGCCTCCTTTCCGTTCAAATACAGGAAGACCAGCAACCCATCCACAACAACCGTCACTGCTACTGGCATCGCCTGGTCCACAATCGATATGGAGGATTGTGCTGACTCCAGCCTACCTGACTTTGTGCGGACTTGTACGCACACGGTGAAGTCTTCCAGGCTCACATACACGTTCGGAAGATTGGACTCATTCACGATCAGAGCTTGAAAGCTCGGTGCTGCAGCCTTGATACAAAGCTCACGCTTCAACGCCACCACACACATAAGGGTGTAAGCAGGAAAAACGGCGGGATGTGCTTGTAGTCCACCCACTGCTTCCTCTTCGCCATCTCGCTTCGTTCCGAGCAAGCGCAGAAGTCGTGCAGCATCATCCGGGTGTAGTCGACCGACTGCGCGTTCCTTCTTCTCCAATATGCAGCCTTTATCTTGCAACTCAGCTGACGACTGTGGCAGGCCGAGGGCAGACAAGCAGAACAAAGCTGCATTTTGTAGGCGAATGGTGCTGTTCACTTCCGTCGATCCGGTCTCGTTTCTTGCAATTACATTGTCTCGGTGAGCTCTGCGAGCATCAGCACTGAGGCAGTTCCTGACCACATTTTGGGCAGGGGCGCTTTCATTTTTGGGCGGAATTCATCTGACAGTATGCCATCAATGAAAGTGGCTTTCGGACACTTTGTGATAACAGCCACTAAGCTTATCATAAAGGGAAATAGCAACAGCAGGAGGATACCAACATCATTCACATGACTACAGTAGTGTTTTATGCCCGAAAATACAAGATGCTACAAAATGAAACTCAAGACTGACACCTCGTATTTTGTGAAAGGTTGAGAAAGCGAATAAATGCAACAAAACCACTTAAAACCACGCGTCCAAACATGTATCAATTTCTTGCAACACGAAGCAAGAACGAAGCTGTGACACTGCATCGTTGATGTGGTGTAAGAGTCACAGAAACTCTTCTCACGTGCTGAAGTATAGCATTGAACACGTAAACTAATTTTTGAACGACTGAACACGAACGTCAGAACATGTAATACTGCACTTGCACCGCTGGTCCACCTGCTCGGCTCTGGACACGGAAACTAACGTGCTAAATTTGCCGGGTTTGGGAGAAACGGACACTGATTTCGCACACATGTAACAGGAACTCGCGCCCGGAGTAACAGGCAAAGGACGACCAGCATATCAGGAATTACCACCAAAAACCAGGGCAGGAGACTTTTATGCTTGCAAAGTAGGGGACCGAAAACACGCCACATGCGCATGCAAAGGAGGACGCCAAATACTAACAAACTCTAAAGCGTACAGAGTGCTAGTGCCTGTGTAGACCCGAATGCAAACCGCCCCTGGGCACTAGGGGTAGCTCGACTAAGCCCTAAAGGCGGCCGAACCACAGCAGAATTGGCTCCACGAGGCACGCAAGGGGTTTGAGGAGAGGAGGCAACGCAATGCTCTCGACTCTCGGCACCAGGGTAACTAACCACTAGGGGTAAGGGGCCTAGCACCCAGCAAGGGATCCTGTGCGACAGGGACCGAGGAAGAGACAGAGCGAGAAAATGTACCGAGGTTGCTGCAACCGAGATTTACTACATGTCACGTCGTTCTCTTCCATCATCATATGTCGGATTGAACACCGCTGCATAAGCGCAATACACCAATTGCAAACAGTCAAGGCTCTGAAGGCCGACGCTGAACATGGTGTTGTCAAACATCAACAACTCTGCAGATCGATGTTCGTCGCCGGCGACACAGTGTCCCAGCAAATGAACCTGAAAAAATCAAAGAAACTTCGCCGCGTCACGCTCTCCGCAGCGGCGCAAGCAACGCAACCCCTCACCAAGGCAGGGACCACGCACGCCTGCTCCCAGAGGTACCTCCGGCGGCTCCCACGTGGACAAGCACTCGCTAGGAAGCTGGGAGAAAAGAATCCTCTTATTTTTCTTTCGAACATGTCATAAATACACTCGATCTGTCTTTGAACCGCCCACAGGTAGGCCTTGACAAGATAACACCGCACAGGATGCCTAGCACTGCAACCCGCTTCCTGATCACACCCGTCAGATTGCTGGGACACTGGTCGGACATCTCCATGCTGATGAGGAAATCGAAGAGGCGAACCAGCTTTCCCAAATGCGGCATCAAGGCTCCCTGTCAGGTACTTGGACCCGGAGTTCAAGCCTGCTTCGGAAGACAGCACTGGCCCCCGCGGGCCCTCGCGGGCCTTGTCCTCCGGCCGAAGAATGAGGAGGTCAATGGACTTGAGGATTGCACTGCATGCCTTCATGCCGCGGGTCCTGAAGTTAGCTTCAACAAGGCGTGTCAGAATCAGGGCCGCATGAAAGTGGCTTCAGAGAATGAGGGTGTAACCGCACTGATGGCTGAGTAACGTGGACCTTGCCGGCCGGCAACTTGAGCACATGCGACGGCTGACACTGAGCGATGCATGTTCACTCACTGTTCATCTTTTCAGGCTCTGACCAGCATAGTGAATACGCAGCCGAGCGCCTTTGCCCGGCTGTCCAGCGCCCCCAGATTTTTCGAGTTCCTTCTGCACATCCCAACAAGGACCGTGCAGGTTTGCAGCGTTCTGCATCTAAAGGAAAAGATTGCAAGATGGATCCACGCCCAAGCGAGAAGGCCAGGCGTCAATCCGGTGTACTGCTTGTTACAACCGTCGCTGATCATCCACAGCAACCTGCACACAAACAGGAAGCACTTCTGTTACTTCTGGAGCTGGGGCGAAGCGGGATGGCAGCTCAGGCAAGCGTAAATTTCGACGAGATGGCAAGCCCTGCCTCTCAGCACGAGACTTCAGCTCAGGCCAAACCTTCAACAAAAGGAAAGAGTGAAGACAGGAAAAGACTGGAACCAGCATTCTCTTCTCGATTCCGTCTGAGGCTCCAGGCTGGCAGCAAGCGATAGCCTGGGTCAAAAGAAGCGAATTACTTTTGTTGTCCCTCGGAGACCGCGGAAACAGCCAAACCTCCAAGCCATGCAACTGTGAGGGTCTTCCTCGTACTGCAAGAGGGAGAGGCTTTCAATGGTGAAGACCCTGGCGAAAGCAGCTTTCGGTGACCGTGTTGGTGCTCCAAACCGATGCAAGGCCCACTTCTCGCAGTCCGGCCCATCTGCAAAGATCCCCAGGAAGTCTGTGGCCCGGCTGGCCGCATTGCAGAAGCCGAGCCTTCCAACGTGAGGAAAAGGGAGCCCGTAGGGCCCTAGGGAAGCAAAACAATTCTATGATGCCTCTGAGACTCTGCACGACACCAAGCAGCAACTGTCATGAAACGTGAAGCACATGTCGAGAAATGCTGGCTGGTTAGATACAGACTGTCGTCAACACCGTCTCCCAACATAGCTCGAAGACAACGGAGCCCCCCCGAAAGAACTTTGAAGGTGCGAGTCGGAAGCTGCACCTGTTGAGCTCCAGAGATTTTTCGAAGATTTTATCCGAGGATGTCTTGCACAAGTGCATTGCGGACAGGTGGTCCTGCCAGGAATTCCTAATGCATACACGCAGCTCCAGATGCGGTTGCAGCAGCCTGGTGAATCTGGAACACCACTCGCATCATTTCACCCTCCAAGAAGGCTGCCTGACGATTGATCACAAATCTGGCTGAACGCCAACCAAACAGAGAGGCTGCGCACCCATTGCTAGTATGTGTGTGCTTGTGTGAATCTTCGCTGTCAGGATAATTCTATAAATGCTAGTGTCATCATCTCGACTTGGCTAGTACCTCCTTCTCATTGTTTATGGCTGCGGCACGCATCCTTGTCATGCCGTGAGCGTGTTGGTGTGCAGCTCATCTGCCGAGGCCACATGCCTCAGGCGTCTTGGGGGCTAAACCAGGTAATGCCACCTATCCCTGACCCGCACTCTGGCGCATGTGTTTTTTGCTAAGACTGTGTCCTCCCAGGTAAAACTTTCTTTTGCAAGGAGAGGCAATAGCCCTCAAGCAATTTCTCTTTCGGAGTTGTCTTTGCTGAGATTTTCATTGTCGCAGATTTTGTTCCCCTCGCAACAGAAACACAGTTTTGTAGATGTGCATGCTTTGATGCCACGGTGTTTGGCTCAGTTTTCTGCATTTCGGACTTCGGAACAACATTGTCATCTTGACATGCTTGTCATACGATGAGGATATGTGGTTGTTTTTCTGTGTGTGGTTTCTACCACATGTTGTTTTGTGCACGCAGCAATGCGTAGGCCAAGAAGGTTTCGGAGATTGTAGTGCGGAGATCATTGCAGTCTGAGAGATGGTTTCTCCCGCAAAAAACGGCTTTTGTGGTCTTACGTGCTTTCATGCTGGGATTTAGTCTTAAATGCGCTTGCTGATATCGTCACTGTCAGAAAGACTGTTTGCCTCGCAAAACAGCGTTTTGCAATCCTACACTTCCATGATAATGTCCACTCAGCCACCGTTCGTTGCCGCAAAGCATCCATGGTCGTGCCATGATAACGTCCACTCAGGCCCCATTCGTTTCCGCAGAGCCTCCATGATCGAACCATTATAAGTCAACTCAGAGACCCAGAGCATCCATGATCGAACCATGATAACGTCCACTCAGACCCCATTTGTTGCTGCAGGGCATCCATGATCGAGCACTGATAAAAATACAAGTGTGATTCATATTCCACGAACATGACAACTGCACAGGACGTAAACGATTTTTCATTTTTCTCTTCCAAGCACACACAGCTCTGAGCTAGGCACCATGCTCTCCATCATGATCAGCAAAATCTTGACAGGCTAATCCCTAACAACACCATTCCAGCACAGACCGATCATGGATGCTCGGCGACAACGAATAGGGTCTGAGTGGTCGTTGTCATGTTTGAAATCATGGATGCTCTGCGGCAAAGAACGGGGTCTGAGTGGTCGTTATCATGGTTCGATCACGGATGCTCTGCGGCAACGAACGGCGTCTGAGTGGACTTCATCATGGTTCAATCATGGATGCTTTGCGGCAACGGAAGGGGTCTGAGTGGACGTCAGCATGGTTCGATCATGGATGCTGTTGGGATGACCGATGCTCTGCAGGAGGCGTTCGGACTGCGTTCTGACTGCAAGTCGGCTGAAACAAGCAAAACGCGAGGGTCAGGATAGGGGCGCAAGCATGGACTAGGTACATAGAAGCCCCTTTCGGCACCCCCCTCCCACGCATCTCCCTCCCTCCTCCCCCCCACCTCTCCCTCCGAAATCCGGCCTTCGCTCCGCTCATGCAGCCGAGCATTGCAGCATTCGGTGCGACTGTGGCTGCGAATGATGGCAACAACATAACTTATTATTTCACCGGGCAAAGATTTAGGTGTTTTCCCTCCACCTAATCCTGCTGCCTGCGGAGACTCAGCCTTTGCAGCATTCGGTGCGAATGTGGCTGCGACTGCGGCCACAGTATCTCACCGGCCAGAGCTTTGGGCGTCTCCACCCGACTTCTCCTTCTTTCACTCCCACCAGCCCTGCTTGGCTGCGACTGCTAGCAATTAGCGAAATTAACTTAGCATCTGCTTGGTGCGGTGCAGCCAAACCTTCTCCCCCCCCAACCTCCTTCCTTGCTTCTTTCCTTCCTTCCCCTCCCCCTCCCTCCCTCCTCCCCGAATTCACTCCCCGGTGTCGCTGGGCCACGCTGCTACTCCACCTGCACTCCAGCAAGTCGAGGTGAGCGGCGCAGCATTACGAAGGCCAGCTACTTCGGAGTATACCAGCGTCAACATCGACGCAATCACCACCAACCAATGCTACGTTCATAACGAGTCCTCTGTCGAAGAGACTTGCACAAACAGGCACAGGCAAAATCATGTAGTAGTAGTAGTAGTAGTATTAGTAGTAGTAGTAGTAGTAGTAGTAGTGGTAGTTGTTGTTGTAGCAGCAGTGATAGTAGTAGCAGTAGTAGCAGCAGCAGTGGCAGTAGTAGTAGTAGAAGTAGTAGTAGTAGCAGTAGTAGTAGCAGCAGTCGTAGTAGTAGTAGTAGTAGTAGTAGTAGTAGTAGCAGTAGCAGCAGCAGTAGCAGTGCAGTAGCAGTAGC